GGGGGGTAAGGAAGAGAAAAATTTATAAATCTAATTGCCCGCGCTTCCTATGAGAAGCGGTCTTCTTTTTCTGAACTCCACAAATATGTTTACGAGTTGAACAAATGGCAGTGCAACATCTTCCAGGAAGAGTGGGAAAACACAGGCATTTAGCTCATGAAACTATCTCACAGACCGGTAGACACGGAATTGTCCCGTCAGACAAGTGGATTGATTATATTTAGACAGATGGGATGATAAAAACACAAATAGATGGTTGTTGCTTCCTGCAATCATAAGCAAAAGCCCAAGCCCGCCGGGGGGACAGCGATAAACGGCTATAGCCATTTAGGTAAGCGGAAATCCTGGCTTACTCACTGCTACAGGGAGCGCGCAACTTATGAATACAGACTAGTAATGGAGCTAAATTTGCATTACACATGCATTAGACGTCTATACACGGATCTAAAATCGTGCGTTGCTTGACATCATGTACTGGATCACTTTGCAAATAGTTTTTAGGTCAGGTTGTGCGGGCTCCGGTGTCTTTAGTGTAGCAGTTAGGCGCTTCCCAGTCAAAGACCCGTGTTCGATTCCCAAGCCGGTTTTTAAAGCCAGTATCTCAGTCTTTCTGCTGCTATGTTGTACCTCTCTCGGCTCGACAATGTTTGAGAATGACCAGTGCATCGGCAGAGACTATTTATCCTTAAAGAGAAATAGACGAAATAAGAAAGTAGATGATGTGTGGCTTTATGGCCAATTGACAGCAGCTCTGAGAGATAAAAGCTTGCCACATTTTGAGCATTTCAAAGATTTAGTTTTACTTGTGGTTGAGCAGAAATGAAAATTGCAAAACAACAACGTCCTCCAGGAAAAAGATGAGACGTTTTTCCTTCCGAACTCACACCAATGCCTCCCTCACTTAGCTTCATAATCAGTAAGAATAAGATACACATTTCCATGTGGCATAGGTAAATGTCTCGAGAGAAATGGTGAAAAGGAAAGCAATGTAAGAGATGTGTCTCCTCTCCTAAAAACGGCAGCCCGAAGTCGGAATTGCTTCGCATGCATTGTGGTGTTTCTACAAACATACCCTCGCCCTTTTGCTGACACCACACGTCAATAAACAACCCTCCGAATGTGTGCGTGAAGACTGCATTGTTGCTGTCTTACTCATCAAAGAACAACAACCCCC